GGTTAATCAAAGCTTATAACACAAAAGTCCTTGTGATACAAGGCAAATATATATATTTATTTCGAACACGTACCTTATATTGTACCTTATACCTTATATATATATTGGTTTTTCCTTAACTGGACAAGCACTTTCACAAGTTTTATTTTCCCCTAACTTTGGCAGTGATCTTGTAGTCTAACGGTTTTAGTGTTAAACCATAGGAGCAGTTTAAAGACAGGTCATCATTATCACGTTTTTCAAATCTGCATTGGTGGAGTAGGATTGCAAAGAACATAAATATCTCAACTTTGGCAATCTGGTTCCCAATACATCTTCTCTTCCCTGCTGAGAAGATCATAACATTGTTGGTGAGATCCTTGTCAAGGCAGCCCTTTTCATCTAGAAAGCGCAAGGGGTCAAAGATATGTGGATCCTTCCACTTCAGGGGGTCGTGATTAATGGACCACTGATTGACGAAGACCACTGTGTCTTTGGGGATGTGAAGACCTTCAATGATGACGTCTGAGGTTGTGCAGTGGGGGATAGTGATAGGGACGAAGCTGGTGAAGCGCATGGTTTCGTAGATGAAGGCGTCCAGGTAGGTCAGACTGTTTCTGTCTTCGACAGATGGCAACCTGTCCCGCCCAACCACTTTGTCAATAAGCTCGTGAAGTTTAGTTTGCATGTCTGGGTGTTTAGCCAGCAGAAGGAGAATCCAGTGAAGAGCGGTAGAGACGGTATCCAAACCTGCGCCAATCAGATCCGACACGTCCCCTCAGTGTGACCTTTGGTGAGGCCATTGTCATTGTCAGCCTTATCAATCACGCCAATGATGGCATCACTCATATCCCTCGTTACCTCTGGATCAAATGTCTCTCTGTGCTCATCCACCTTGTTCTGGATAAACCCAAAAAACTCTTTATTCAAGTCTGTGAAGTTCTTAAACATGCTGCGGACTGGATTAGGGAAAGACTGAAGCCATGGCATCACATCTACCAAGCTGCCAGCTCCTACTGTCTTTCCAAAGTCATCTACCCTCTGTAACAAGGATCTGAACTCAATGTCATCATGTCCATAACGTTTTCCAAAGCACAAGGCACAAATCACATTGGCTGCAGCAACTGTCAGCTCCTGAGCGGGGTTGAAATACTGGCCCTGAGCACAGAGTTTAAGGAAAATCTCCACTAGCTCTGTGGCTTCAGCCACAATTTGCTGCTCAAAGGCTTTTTTGGTCTGGCTGTTGGCAGAGGAGAATGCTCTGATCGTTGATTGAGCAATTTTCCTGTGGATGGATCTTCTTGTTTGCTGTAATTGGTGAAAGTCATACTTTTCCCCCCTGAAACAGCCTGAAAAGAGACAAAGTTTGGTCTGCCTGCAAACTCTGTGCTGTGCTGTACGAGAGCCTCACGTATCACCCTGTCTCCATTCAGAACCACAACGTCACTGCAGCCCAGCCGTATCTGGTACACGTTGCCGTATTTTTTGGCGAGCTTGGCGAAGGTGATGTGAGGCATCTGGCCCAGCTGCATGGCGTTGCCCACCACCGGCCAGGCGAAGGGTCCAGGCAGAAGAGGAACACTAAGGAGGCGACGAGAGCAGGCTGGACCTGTCCACTCCATTCCCTGATGATGCTGCTGCCCTTCACACCAAACTCTGAGTCCATTTGAGCCATTGTGTTATCCTCTAGGTCAGCGGTTTTCAAAGTGTGAGGCGCGCCTCCCCTGGGGGGCACCAGAGAGCTTCAGGGGAGGCGCAGCGTGAGAAAAAAATAACGAGAAACAGTGAAATCTAGCTAGTTAACTTCAGCTAACTTTATGCGAGCGGCAACATGGATCGATTTTTAGTGAAGTTACCTAAAGTGAAAGAGGAGACAGCGTCTGGCAGAAAACGTCACTTGCACACCTTTGGCTGTCTGTGGAGACCGAGTTCCCCCCCACCTCGCCAAAAAGGCTGGAAAAGTGCTAATTCCCTTCACCTCCGCCTACCTGTGTGAGTGCGGGTTTTCCGCATTGACTTTGATCAAAAGCAAGTACCGGTCAAGCAGGGGCGGATCTACCGGGGTGGCATGGGGTGGCAACTGCCACCCTAAAAATAGCCTTGCCACCCCAGCTGCCACCCCAGTTGGCAGCTTTGTTTTTGAAATAAAAGTTGTGGCTCATCAGACATTTATGAGAGAAAATCCCTAATGTCCGAGTGCAAGTGAATGCAGCACAAGACGCAAGCCTTGTAACCCCTCCCCCGGCCCTGGCACGAGCGTGGAAATGTGATTGGCGGCGATTTCATTTGAACGGGACGGCGCATTCGGACCCCAAGTAGATGGAAGGAATGAGGTATTTGCGGTCTACAATGACAGAGAAGAGACTGTCAAGTTTGGCTGTACTCAGCATTGAATCAAAACGCACTAAAGCTTTAGATCTTAATCAGTTTGTGAGGCGTTTTGCTGAACAAGATGGTAATCGCTGCATTCAGCTGTTATAGGCATGGCAACTTGATGCTCTGCTCACGGATGACTCGATGAGCATAAAAAACTGTTAAGATGATGACCTTACGTGTGTAAATATATTGTTTTCTTTGTGGGGTCAAATAAGACGGTGTGTAAAACTACACTGCCCAGCCAAAAAAAAGTAACCACTTTGATTTAACTAGGCCAGTAGGTAAGGGCATTCCACTGGATAATAATACCCCTGCATTATAGCAACAACAACAATAATAATAATAATAATAGCAATAATAATTGGGAGGGGGGGCGCTGCTGTTCTTATGTTCTCTGAGGGGAGGCTCACCTTCCCACACTTTGAAAACCCCTGCTCTAGGTAATCTATCATCAAATGTGTCCAATAAAAAGGGACATTTTAACTAAAAGTGGCAGTCCATTGCTTCCTCTTGTTGCGAGCTTACATGCATAAAAACATCTTTAAATGTCTCAATCTACATTAAGAAAAGACTAAGCAGAACTCACATGCTGCCTCACCCTCCGTCACAGAAGCTAGTGAGAAAGGCTCGATCAGGTTCAAGTCTTAACACTTCGCTTATATGTATCTCTACGGTGGGAGGGGTCAGCGACTCAGGTTTTTTATTATCTCTCCCCTCCCATTTTTGACAACAGTCTGAAGACCTTAGGCTGGTGCCCCACGAGGACGAAAACGGGTTGTATCCGCATATTTCTCTTGCGTATAGCCCTTTTTGCCACACGAGGCCGTAACTAAACGATAGAAACGGACCCCACAAACGATAACGGGTCCAAAGGTGGATAGATCTGGGAACGGAGCGCTCTGGGGGGTCAAACGGCTCCGTGTGATCGCCTCTATACGATCATTTTGTGATAATGATGACGCAATAGCCCTGCCTCCCCCCACCTCTGCTGCTCACCCCCGCAAAAGTAAACTGCACACTGATTTCAGATTATTTATCTTTATCTCGATATGGACATAAACGCGAGTGAAGTCTAATCTGACAGGACGGAGACACGCAGCTCCTCCCGCTGTGATGCAGCGGGAGCAAAACACACACTTCAAGTCAGATCATCATCCTTAGCTATTTTAATTAGCCTACCTCTCAAACTACCTAAACTAGTTATAAATATGTCGGCCGGGTCACTCATTACTGGATCAGCTGCTGCATGAGACAGACACTGACGCTGTCAGAAGAGAGGAAAAAGAGAGGACAGGCTCCGCTCCGTGTATTTCATTCTTATATATAGTCGTTATTCATTTGTTTTAAAGCTTAATAAATAACAAAGAAGACCTTTGTCCGGCACTTTTATAATTTTGTCCGGAAGATTTAAACTTTTACACACGTTGACCGGCGAAAAACTCTGCCCGGTTCCCTCGGCCCCCACCGCGGAGAGTAAACAGAAGGGCAACCATGCTTCTTCGCTGCTTTTGTGGAGGAAGTTACAGCGCCACGTACAGGCTCGGCATATGTACTGCAGCTTTTTCCAGCGGTTGGAGCTAAACGGAGCTGTCTCGTGTGAACAGACACTATCCGGTGTATATTGCGTGTGGACGGAAGCTTTTTTGCGATTGCGATTGCGTTAATCCTATGCGTTTTGCCGTATGCGTTCCCGTGGGGCCCCAGCCTTAGTCCCATTCCCACACAGGCCCCATTACAGCAGCGTCCCTTGTTGGATAAGGGAAATGAGAACAGCTACTTAAAAGGTCCTGTTGCCAAAAAGCACAGATTTATTGCCAAAGAAAAAACAGAGATTACCATGACACTTTTAAAGAGATAAACAACTGTTCATGCTCCTGTGTGCCCTGATTGGTATTTATCACAAACTATCTTATTTAAAGTTGTTAATGCCCAAAAAGGACGCACTTTAGCTATGTGACTGAATGGATGGATGGCTTATAGTGTAAGTAATGGACAGTAAGCTGGGGTTGATTGTTTTTGCCTCTGGGGTTAGATGATTATGCTGTTTCCTATGGACTTTCCATGGCCATTTTAAACATGATTTGGTTTATTTTATTTACAGCCAAACTGTTAATTATAACCATACAGGGAAAATTCTCTGAGATATCACCATTAATGGGGGATCCAAACTCATAATGGATACAAACATCACAAATTATTATGCTTCATAAAAAGATATGCACAACGTTATTGTTGGCCCTTTAAACAAAGGGTTATTGAGATAATGTAGCTGTTATTGTTATGGCTGCAAATATTTGTAGAGAGATTACAAAAAAAAGGAGTTCAGCTATAAATCTGTTTACTTAAGTCAGCGCTTGTGCAACAAAAGAAATAACTTTCTTTTTTTTTTAAACATCCGCTTTGTTTTAGTGATGTTCAGCCACAAGTGGTGTATTCCAGAGGTTTCTATGTTTGTAACAATGAGTAATGATTGACATCTAAACAGTGGTGGTGCCTAATATCTCAGTGTTGGCTCAACTCTGACAGTGCCTGCGTTAGCTAAGAAGTGCTTTGAGACGGAGAAATGTATTCATAGTCAGACGTTAAACATGAGATATTAGTTTATTCTAAAATCTAAAGGTTATAGTGACAATTAAAGAGGACACGTTGAGCATTGACAATTCACTTTATTACGGTAATTTCATATATAGCTTATTGTTCCATATTTCCTCATATAAAGCCAACACATTGATAACAAAACATCCTCTATGAGGAATACTTAACATTCAGGGCAAGAGATAGATCCCTTGGGAATTTTATCATCAATTCCTGAAAACAGAGGCCTAAAGAGAGTGCAGTGACATCCATGTAGTTTTAAAAAAGTGACTTTTGTAAACAAGCATGTTTTTGAGAATGCCGCATGAGTAAAATACATTTGCTGCAGATGTTGGGTTATTGTTTGTACTGGTGAGACTGGTGTGGTTGGCATAGGGGAACTGCAGTGCTTAAAACTGAACCTTGGTGCATTAAGTTTGTGAAGCGTTCATGGTTCATGGCAATGTTTCTTCCTCTTTCTTTAGACTGGAATGGATGTCCCTTGATGGAAGACTTCCTTCTTCACAAACATGCCCGCCTTTTTCCTCCACTTGGACCAGCATTCTTTGTTTAATGTGTTCATATGCTTTGAGTACAGTAGATAGTGAAAAACATTAAACGTCATTACATTTATTGTCATACCTGAAATTATAAAAAAATATTTTGCAGCTGCTTTACGTGGCTTAGGTTGAATATATTTCTACATATTACAAATGAGAACACAATGTCATCAACTGACTTAATAACATTCACAAGCATTTCATATACATTTATATTAGTTTAAATTGACATTAAGGGGAAAGTAGTAATTTCCTGCACCCATACCATACATGTACATGCGCAATAGTAGACTTAAACAAGCACACATCTCAGAATAATGTACAAAAACTCATCAAGTATGGAGTATTTTGTGAAGCAGTATTTTGATTAATTTGCATTGAACAGTCCATAAGCTTGAATTCTACCTGTAGGTAATATAACATCTTTGACATCATATTCTCAGCCCTGCACCAACAATAATTCAATACAGACTGCTTTAAGACACCCAGTTAATATAATCTTTAAATATGAAAATTACACAACAGTAGGATTTAGTGCAGGTTACTCACTGTTTAATGTCATTGGTGAAAAAAAAGTGTTTGCTGGCCTTGAGTCGCAGTAAGGGGACATGGTGTTCATGCTGGGGAAACTAAGCCGAGCAGCTTCCCCCTGAGCTTGGCACTGACACGGAACTGGAGGGGCTTCAGCGTGAGCCCAAAGGAGCAGTCAAGAGAAAGGGGCACAGAGGGGTCGTTCTCAAAGCTGCACTGGTGCAGCAGGACCGCTGTGAATAAAAACACTTCCACCTTTGCGATCTGGTCACCGATGCAGCGTCTTTTACCCGTTGAAAAAATCATCACATTGTTTGTTATGTCCTTATCGAGGGCCCCGTTTTCATCAATGAAGCGCGAAGGGTTAAAAATGTGAGGGTCCTTCCACTTCAGGGGGTCGTGGTTTACGGACCACTGATTGATGAAGACCACCGTGTCTTTGGGGATGTGGAGACCTTCGATGGTGACGTCTGAGGTTGTGGAGTGTGGGATGGTGACGGGGACGAAGCTGGTGAAGCGCATGATCTCGTAGATGAAGGCGTCCAGGTACGCCAGGCTACTTCGGTCCTCGATCGATGGCAGTCTGTCTTGGCCTACTACTTTGTCTATGAGCTCCTGCAGTTTGGCTTGCATTTCTGGGTATTTGACCAGGAGCAGGAGGATCCACTGCATGATAGTTGAAATTGTGTCCTGACCTGCTCCAATAAGATCCGTGACGGTTGCTTCAACAAACTCTTTGGTCAGCCCACTATTCCCTTCGTGTTCGATCACGTTGATGATGGCGTCGCTCATGTCCCGGGTCACATCAGGGTTGAAGGACTCCCTGTGCTGCACCACTTTGTCTTTCACAAAGGAGAAAAACTCCTCATTGAGGCTTTTGAAGTTTTCATAGACACTGCGGACTGGGTTAGGAAAGGACTGAAGCCAGGGCATGACATCAACCAAACTACCTGCTCCTACCGTCTCCCCAAACTTGTCCAACTTTTTTATCATGTTTCTGAACTCCAGGTCTTCGTGTCTGTATCGCCTCCCAAAGCAGAGAGCACACATGACATTAGCAGCAGCTACTGTAAATTCATGAGCAGGGTCAAAATACCGTCCATCAGTGCTGTAGCGCAGAAATGCCTGCACCAATTCCATGGCCTCGGCTGTAATATTTTGCTCAAAGGCTTTTTTGGTCTGACAGTTCGCAGAGGAAAAGGCTCTGAGGCTGGACTGGGCTATTTTCCTGTGTGCTTTCCACTGTTTGCTGTAGTTAGTAAAAGTCATACTCCTGCCTCCAGAGACCATCTGGAAAGAGACAAAGTTTGGTCTGCCTGCAAACTCTGTGCTGTGCTGTACGAGAGCCTCACGTATTGCCCTGTCTCCATTCAGAACCACAACGTCACTGCAGCCCAGCCGTATCTGGTACACGTTGCCATATTTTTTGGCGAGCTTGGCGAAGGTGATGTGAGGCATCTGGCCCAGCTGCATGGCGTTGCCCACCACCGGCCAGGCGAAGGGTCCAGGCAGTCTTTTCTTGAGCCTGAAGTTCCTGACCCACAGACAGGCTTCCAGGCAGAAGAGGAACACTAAGGAGGCGACGAGAGCAGGCTGGACCTGTCCACTCCATTCCCTGATGATGCTGCTGCCCTTCACACCAAACTCTGAGTCAACTGCCATGGTGACAATTTCTTTACACACTTGTTCCTCAAAAAAACAAAGAAATACAATTTCTTCAACAAAGATAGTTTAAAAAAATCTATATATCCTAAATGAAAAACATACCTATGATATGTCAATCAAACCTCAGAAAACTGATAAAATAAGTGAGTAAGATGAAGTTCTTCAGTCTCTTCATCAAGATTTAAGACTTAAGTGTCTGCTTTTTGCTCCACTCCAGCGTCTTATATGTTTTGCAGTAGGTGGGCAGGGCTCATGGTAACTTTCATACTCCTCCCATTGTGGTAGCCCTGCAGACCCCACTGTATCATCTCCCTGTTGTCGCGCGCTGTCGGAGGCGCGCGCTTGACAGCGTGAGCGTGCAGTGTGAAAGAACGCAGAGAAAAAAGAGTCACATACTGGTGACCGGTTTAGTACGAAACGTGTGGAGCCAATTTGTTTGACTAATTGGAGGACTGGCAGAGTTTGCATGTTTTAAAGTGTATCTTTCTAACATGATTTATTTGCTGGCTGCAGAGGACTCAGCGGGCGAATTAAAAAAACTGTTTGCACACGGTTTGTCCAACTCTTGACTGAGTTTAAACTGTTATTACATTTGTAAAAAGTCTGTGTAATTATTCTGTTACGTGACATAATTTACTCAATCAGTAAATTAGCTCGTATTTTGATCTGCTTAAAACTAACTTTGCATGCGTAAGCAGCCAAGGAGAATTTAAATAGATGTAATATATGCAGCAGCGTGTCTTAAATGATACGCTTAAATGTTTGGTCTATATATAGCGATTGATTCCGCTATTTCAAAAGCCTATTTTGTCATTTAAGTCCCTCTGATTCTTTGTCCATAAGTCCCGCAGGTTCAGTGTTAGTTTGTTATAAAAATGTAATGAGAGTCGAATATAAAGTTGAGAGAAGTTGCGCAGCACGCAGCCCAACTTCAGGACTCTCAGTCGATCGCGTCTTATGCTGGTCTTCAACATTTTATATTTTTTCCAAAGCTTCATCGCTAAACAATACATATTAAATTCACTGTTTAATTAACACGAAACTGATAACGATTTAAAGGTTCACACTTGCAGTTTATACAAAAGAAAACCCACAGCCTATAATAGCAGATTATCAATATGAGGCCAGTGATCCATATGGAAATATTACAATTGCATTTTTCTTTTTTCTTTCTTTTAATCAGACTGTTTTTTCACCTCAGCCTCTTGACAGTGGAAGAATAATTTCACTTTAAATTCTCACACAACAAACTCCCATGATAGGTGTGGACAAGCCACTACTAGCCCTCCTTGTACATCACATCAACTGCAGTTTTGTATGACAGTTCAAGTTAAATCATACCACAGCAAATTTCAGGTGTTTTCCTCTGAAACTCCCCAAGAAGTAATGGGGGATTCACAAAGGATACACATATAAAGCCCATTCATCTGAGGCTAAATCATATTTCACTTTCCTTGCTTCAGGTAATACATATTACGTCATTTATTTTCATGGTTGCACAATCATTTTAGAGAAAAGATACTTGGATAAAAAGTTTATAGATAAAAAGATAGAAACTTGTATTTCAAAGTGATACATCTTTCCAAAGCTATACATTTCTGTTCTCCATGTGGAAGGCACAATTAGTTTCTTGTTCCTTGTTTCACAGACTGTGAAGTTTATTTTTGTAGGGAGGTAATGACCCTAATTGAAGGTAGTAAAACGTTTCCGAAGCAAGTAAGAGGGACAGAAACTTCACTACCACACAAGCAATAGTCATTAGTCATTACAAGCAGGATAGGAGGAGAGAAATGGGGAGGGGAGAAATTATATATAATTGACTTTTTAGAAATGCGTTTTACAACAAGAATGGACACTGAGTGATGGGTACATTTTTGAGCCATCATAAAAACAAATGATAAAGAAAAGGTATCAGGAGAATTTATTTTATTTGCCACATGCAAATCTAATTTGGCAAATAACAATGCATGGTCTAAATTTATAATTCACCATAAAGTTTAACTTCTTATGTGATAGTGTTTTGCCATCAGTGTTTTGGCATCCTGAGAGAAATAGTTCAGATCTGCAAAGAAAACATTCCCATTCTATATTAAATAACACTTTCACAATCCAACCAAACTCTCACAAACTCTAATGTATAACTGTTTTAATAAACTGACAAAAACAACACATCGTGCAGGCACAGCGTGCTCAGCTTCCCCAAAAATAAACAAAAAGGCAACAATAACAGTAACCAAATTGTACAACTACATTTTTTGTCATTATTTCACAATAATGGTCCTTAAACAGCCTTGTACAGATGTCGGCAGTTTTGCTGGATCATGGCTCTGCCTGAGAGCTGTTTGTCTTGAGAAATGCGGTGTGGCTGTGCACCAAAGCCTCCAGAATGATTTCTCGGTTAACCAGAGACATAGCAATGTCTTCGAATACACCGCCTGCACTGGGGATGACTGTTTCTTCTCTCCTGTCTTCCTATAGGGGGAATCCCCCTCCCCCTCTCCCTCCCCCTCCACTGACACCACCACTACCTCCGCCTCCTCGCCTGGGTCTGCTTCTCATACACATGTGGCCACTCGCATCCCCATCACACTAATTAGAGCCAGGTTTATGGCTGTAGGAGAAAAGGGGGGGGGGGGGGGGGGGGCTGAAGTTTGTGTGTATGTGTGTGGGAGGGGTGGAGGCCCCAGTTGGAGGGGCGGGAGGGGGGTGTGTCGTGTGTGTGCGTTTTGCGTGTGGCTGCTGTGTTTGCCTCTGATTACCCCTTGTAACCTGGCTGTGAAAGGTTGGCCCTGACCCTGCGTTGACTCTGGCTGAGGGGGGGCTTTTGAAGGGGATTTGTGGCGGAGGCGGGGATGGGGTCTATAGGCCGCTGCATGTCATGTGCTGGCGGGTGGGCGCCCGCTGCGTGCAGACATGGCCAATGGTAGACCAGGCTGCCCCGGCTCTGGAGCTAATCATTGTTTACTAGTCTCATTTCCACTTCTCAGTGAGCTACTGTCACGCACAGCACCAACAGGGAGGAAGGAAGAGGGAAAAGGGGGAGATTTGGGGTGTGAGGGGGGGGGGGGGCAGGGAGAGGAAAGCCAGGGGTCCAACAGGCAGTTGGGGAGCTGAGGAGCTGGTGGGACTTGGGGAAAGGGAAGAGTAGAGAGAATGCAAGAATTTGAGTGAAGATCTTATTTTTTTCTTTAGTGAACAAAGGTGAGCCAAGACAGAAAAATCTGCGGCCAAAAACAACCCCGACAAACCAGTAAACAGACCAATAAAAACATCCCTTGGGCCAGAGCCATCCCAGGCAGCCAAGAGGAACCACCGGACATTGCTAGTTAGAGATGGCGATGTTTGAAATGAGAAATGTTTTTGCTTGCCAGACCACAATAGGAGGACCGAGGGATACTTAGAAAAGTTGTCACCGACTGACATGATTGTTGTTGTGTGTAAAATGCCTGAGAAAAGACGTGCGAAGGCGCAATTCAATCCAGCGGGGTGATACCAAATGGACTGGTGGTTGAAGTGTTTTGACATATACACACACTAAATATAAATGTTTAACCCTGCACTGTTAAGTCCAGCTCTTAGGCCTTAGAAAGTTGCAACAGTGTCATTTATTTTAACACAAACATATATCAACAAACTTATCAGTGTATGCCTGAACACCTCAGCAAAATCTCCAGTACAGCAACCCAATAATTAACATACAAAACACATACAACCCCGCGTGAAAAACAATGAAAAGCTTTGATTACAAGGACTTAAAATATTTTAGATATGTAGATTATGAAGGGAGCCCAGGTGTTTTGGAAGAGTGATTGATAGGCACTGAGCGTGTGTCAAGGACAGAGATGTATTCAGAAATCCCTTTACCCATACTCGGCCAACATTTTTCTTGGAAATAGCAATAACTCCAATAAAAGACATATTTTTAGGGGAATTGTGTACTCTGGATTTCACATAACAAATTAGCCTGATATAAACCAAGTTTAAAAAGCCTTCAGTCTAGAGGTATAAACATCAGTCTTTAAAACTTGTCGTGCGCTGCCAAGGTGGTGAAAAAACAATCATGAATGCAGCTTTAGCACAGAAGCTCTGCTATGGAATATTCTGGTTTTACAAACGTTTAATGATAATCTAAAAGTAGAACACAGAAAATGTTATCCAGCAACAAAATGGTTAAAAGTTCAAATGTTTTCACTCAATTTTAATACCATACATTTATAGAAATGAATTGAAACGTGGTTCAAATCCATGTTTGATATTGTTACAAAAAATAAACACATTTGTACACTATAGCTCATATTGTGTTACATACAGTATACATTTCACCACACGCTACACAACAAACCCCAAACAATTATTGAAAATTACGTTCTTTCTTTGTGAACTGGTCAAAACCTCCTTTTCTTCACCTTTTACGAGACAACTTGATATACAAATTCCAGGGAATCTTGTCATCTCTGATAGCTTCATGTGTGTGACCTGCTGTGCCATAATACTTTTGGGGAATGTTTTCCTGAAATGATTTAAGGTCTTCGGTTAAACCATGAAGACATGACCCTTCCCAAGAGTATGATTTTGCAATATTTTCCTACACATGCTGCCCTTTAATGTGGTCCTGTAGTTGAATAAAGCATCAACACATTCAAGGTTAGGGGTTTGATGCAATCCAGCGACCACCCACACTACACATTTTTCACACTTCTATCATCAAGTGTTCCAGACATTGAGTACTTTTAATAAGACGTGTTCCTTTAAAGTTGCACAAAGTCGTTTTTTTCAAGATCCGCATGAATTAAAGTTGTCCTTACATGCACTTACCCGGATCAGCTTAACATTTTTTGTAAATGTATAACAAATAAATCTATAGGGATATTAAACTAGCAATAAAGTGATAAAAGCAGTAACTTCATAAGAACGTCCAGAAAAAAGGTCCCTACACAGCAGAGAACAAACTTATTATTTATGTAGTAACTTATTAGTATAGCCCTTTTTTTCCTCTTTTCCCACACTCCCCCTAGACTGGACAGTGTTCCTCTTCACTGTGTGCAGGCTGCGTGATAGATCT